TAATGTTTTCACGTCTTGTTCTCCGGTGCTTCAGTGGTTAGATCATAAGAAAGTTAATTAAAGCTTAAAAAAAAAAATTATTTTCTCGCCTGGTGACAAGTAAATTTACAATAAGATCAAACTGACACGCCCCAAACAAATATGACCAAATTATAAAGTTATTTGATTTTGCATGTGTATGAGTAGTGACCACTGTGTGAACGCCACGCCCACTAAAATCACTCACACATGGAGGCGATCATGTTCGCGGTGGCCCGCTGGTGGTCAGGGAACCAGAGGGCTGCCAGCTTGGTGGGGGCGAAGATGACGAGGGGCTGAGCGATGGCACAGAGGGTCTGACCCCCCATCACGAGGGGGTACTGTTTTTTTTGTTCTTGGCCTGGTATCGTTCCCAAGAAGCGCAGAAGGGCTCCGAACATGTTCAGCCAGGAGCCCAGGATCAACTGCAAGGTGAAGATGGCAGCGACACGTCAAAACCACAGACTGTATCTGAAGATGGACGACATGACGGCTCCCTAAAAGTGAAGCCGAATCGTCTTGATTGCCCCCTGGTGCCTGGCTGCAGTATAGGTCATAAACCTGGGCTTCTCCATGTTAGTGAATGGGACATGTACCAAACTGAAAGGTCTCCATCCCCCGATCACTTCTGCGCTGACACCGAATGTGTAAGATGTTTGTATCCAGAATATTTTGGATTAGTTTTTTTTAATTTCTGGAAATAGTCTCAGCTAACATCACTTGACTTTCAGTACACAAAGTACATCTTCAGACGATTAATATATTCTCTCTGTCTGTTTATATTCTTGAACATTTTGTTACCACTAACCTGCCGGGTAGTTAAAGCTTAATGTGAACTCCAGATTGTACAGACTCAAACTGAAGCAGGTGACTATGAAACACAGCTTCCAGTATAGAAAAGGACATTTCTCATCCCTGTACCTCGGATGTGCTGTATTAGAAAAAAAAAAAACACCTGATTAGCTCAGGGAGCAGTTTGTACCGTGATCCGCAGCCCGAGCGTGTCCAGCATCCATGTGGTGCCAAAGCTGAGCGGTATCGCCACCACCATGAAGACCAGCGACAACCAGTTGATATCTTCCAGAGTGACGCCCAGGTAATGGGCAGACTGGTTTGCTACTGGTGCAAAGGTCAGCCACATCTGTAAAGGCACATTCACAGTTTTATTCCATTGTCACATTAGTCTACTGGGGGGAAAAAGTACTAGATACTAATTTACAAAAAGTAAAACTAACTATGGAATACTGACAAAGTGGTTTATTTTAGTCTGGGGGAAGAAATCTTGATCGTTACTGACTATTTTCATTATTTTACAATATTTAAATCTTTTAATTTGCAGCATTTTTACTCTTAAATGTTCTGTGATCTTCAAATTGCTTCATTCATCTCATGCAAAGAACTTTGTAACTGGGTTTTGAAAGGTTATTAAAGATTTTAAAACTGCTTCTGAAGTGTTCTGGTCTCTGTTTAGATTAAATTTACTGTAACTGGTCAGTAAATGTTGATAAATCTGGAATAAATGGTTTCTGTTCAGCACCGTTTTATATCAGTTTCACTGACAATAAACCAGACAGGATAAAAGCCTTTTGTAAAATCTGGAGTGTGCGACGGAAACTTCAGCATTAACTTACATATTTTATCTGTTTAATAGTTTGTTTAAACATAATTGTCAGCTGTAAATCCATGAATCAGGGAAAGTAAAATGTGTTAATATTATCTTTAAGGTATCGTGAAGATAATGAATAAGTCTTTTGTTCATTCACACTTTCCGATCATCTGAATATTCCTCAGTCTTACTGTTATATTCTGTTAAAATGTATACGAGCTGATCAAATATGGAATTTCTCTGATTCAGTCTGTGGATTCATGTTTCAGTTAACGACAGTCAAAACTTTCTCTGGTGTATTTTCTGTTTTTCGTTTCGACAAAACCGGCTTCACCGAGTGTTTCTCATTTCTTAAATTATCTTGCCGTCATGTGACCTGCACATGTTTTAGAGAAAGAGGAAGTGCCAACACTTGCTCAGCTCATGTGAGGAACAGATTTCATTTAGCCCAGCTCGCTGTGCTCTCATATGACTCCACTTATCTCACAACCCGCAGATGTTTTCGTGCTGAAGGACAAACACACTGTCACGCAATGGATGAATGGAATGAGGCCTTTCACTGGGTTAACAGACTGAAAACGAGGGTGTCTAAATAATACATTTCAAGAAACATGTCTACATAAATGTTTCTATGGGGGTGGTTCCATCTTTTTTTATCAACTCCTCCTCCTCAGTGTGTGTGGTGCAAACAAAGCAGCATGGCTTCTCGGCAGTGTCTCCCACAGATCGGGAATTGACTGGTGGTGGGGGCGCTGCATGTGACGGGTGTACACGCTCGTGCAGTTTAGAGGAGGAGAGCGTAGGATGGATCCCGTGGGTGTAAGCGCTGTCCTCCTCCTCCTCTTCTTTTTCCAGCCTGTTATCATTTTCAAAATTCGCTTTGCTACAGGAAACACTGAGAGCAACTTCTAAGCTGCAACCGGTGCAATGGAGATGGAAGGTTTCGATCTGGATTACATGGTCAAGATACTGGGTTTTTTTTGTGAATTAGCTATTTTAATGACATGGGAAGGTTCCACACACAGACTGTTTATGAAAAAGGACGCCGGTTCTGGAGAGCGACGGCAATGCTGAAGTCCCTGACACTTGTTTTCTTTTAAATGGTCTGCAGAGGGCGACTCCACTGGTTTTTAAGACGTCAGTTTCTAAAGAGGAAAAATTACTCTTCTTCTACTTCTCACTTGATTTATGACATCAGTACACATTTTCTTAAGGACTCTATGGTCTTGATCTATAGTTTCAAGTCTTATTCAATACAGCATGACGTTCCTTTAGTAAATGATGGTTCCATTAAGTTGACGGTGGCGCTGGACAACAACTCGAGGCGTCTAAGCAGCAGCTCACAACCCGATGCTTGGATCCACCAACGCAAGTTTCCGCCCCCAACTTTATTTTGCAGGAGCACCGTCACCACATCACCACAGTCGATTGTGATTGATTAAACAACAAGGAAGATAATGAGAGCAGTGCAGAGCTGCCATTACCCAGTGCTGCTGACACAGCGCTGCACATGGGTCCGGTCATGTGAGACACGGGAGAGTGTAGCTGAGGTCATTTTCTGCATAGCTGCACAGTTTAGCTCATTGCTGCCTCGCACAGTTACTTCATCTGTGAGGGCTCCACCTGTCAGCGTGGTTTAATCGGACAGTAGAGACACTCTGACTGAAAATGACTGGTTCTAACAGAATACGAGGGGGGAAGTTGCATGCTGGGCTGATACACAAACACACAGACTGGACTGAATGAATCTGACAAGTCATCCAAACTGAGATCACAGAGGCAGCACCAGTACGACTCTCTGTGGTGTGAAAAAACTCATTTATGCCGAACGGAGCTGGCGCGAGCTGGTCAGCTGATTCAGACGCACAATGCCAGTCCTGTCCCTCAGGAGGAGGGACATTACATTTCCACTCATTCGTCCTCCCTCTGTTGTTCTACAGACCTGTGCTGTTTGTCTGTGAGGAAGATCAGGTTGTCTGGCACAATATTATTTCATTACAATACCACCATGTGCCAAGTTTCCACCACTTGAGTTTTATATTGTGTTAAGACGACAAAGCTTGGAGCGAACATGGGCAGCTATAAACTACTAAAAGTGTCACTGCAGGAAATGTTACTTCAACTTCCAATATCTTTTTAGCACTATGCCTTACATTCAGAAGGTTCCTGGTTCAAGCTGTTCCTTCTATATCTGAGGACATATTAGAGTTTGATTAATCGCCCTAATAGGAATGAAAGTTTTCTTTCTCCTGCGTCAGAGGTCTTTACACTTAGCCAAGAAAAACTGGGTGCAAACAAAGGAGGTAAACACCAACAGACAATGAAGCATGGTTCTCTAAATCAATTTACAAGACCAACAATCTATGACCTGCCACGAACCATCCTGAGCCCTCGGAGGGGGCATGAATGCCACACAGATTGATGTCTTGCTGGCTCATCAGCTGCTATTTGCCACATCATGAATCCCTCCGGCAGCTGAGCATCTTTTGTGAGTGGGAACACCAGCTCGGGGGAAACAATGGCCACCACAGAGAGGACGGGTCCTGGGGGAGCTGGAAATAGGTGAGGGAGGGGCTCAGTTTGTGAATGAGGCAGGCACGCTTGCCTCCAGACACACTCTGCCTGACAATGACAGCATCCCCCGGGGAATAGATATCAAGTTCCAGCAAAACCCAAGAGGGCACCACGTGTCATCTACCTGCTGTTCTCACAACCACATCTGCTGGTTAACGCCAGAAACAAAGGCCAGAGAACTTCAGATGTGCACGACTCAGGCAACCAGCCGTCCGCTGAAGGAGGACGTGAAGAGTGAGCACTTCCTCTAGTGCAGAATGGGACAACATCTACATCGTCTTGAGGATAAAGACACGGCAGGTTCTTCAAGGGGCCCGATGTTTACAGATGTGGAATCGGTTCGGTGGATTGCCTGCAACACCTCATGAAATGTTCACTAAGAGTTCATCTTTTCAACGATACAAGGCTCAATCCCCCATTTAAGCGGAGATACTGCAATTCTAAACTGTAAAGGATCCGCTGCTAGATTTGCAAGTTTTTTATTATATGATGCTTCTGCAGCACGTGATGTGTTGCATACTTGCAACATGTTGTGTCTACTTGTAAGTTAAATCTCATCTGTGTCCTGTACATTTGGCAGAATTGACGACAAAGTTGAATTTGACGACAAATAAAATTTGATCGATTGATTTTCTAGCTTTTTATTTTTTGCTGAGCACTTTGTGATAGTTTTTTTTTTTAAGTTAAGTTACTATTAAATAAAATCAATAAAGGTTGACGTTACAAACTCACTGTCATTCTTAATGCTGCAAATATACATAAATAATAATACATTTTATCTACGTTGTGCTTTTGCCAACACATAAGGTTAAAATGGAAAATAACGATAAAATACAAATCATAATCAAACATTAAAAGTGCTTCTGGACACGTTGATTCATAATCTAATTGGGCGGTCATGATTTTTAATCATCAAATAAGTTTCACATTTTAAGGTTGCTTGTTTTTTAATCCCATGTGACCTATGATTTTAAAACTGACTTGCTTACTTATTTATTCCTGAGTTTATGACATTAAAAGTGCAGAGTTTAAAAGTTATCCGAGTTATTTTGATGTCCCAGCTTCCATACTGACTCACTCCCTTCAGACACACATTTAAAACATGGTTTTTAATCAATCAAGTGTGTTTCACAGTTGAAGTTTGATTAGTTGAACTGGTTTTAAAGTGGACCTGCTCTCTCCTCTGTGCTTCTCTGAGATCAATGCTTGTGCGTTGATTTGACAGTAGTTTACTCACAGTGGCGTTGGAGCAGTTTAACAGACACAGAACCAGCAGCACGAACCACCTCCTCTTGTACAGTTTGAAACACAGCAGCTTCCTCAGCTCGGAGTTTGGTTTGGTGGGAATCTCGCAGGAGGAGGAAGAGGAGGAAGAGGAGGCTCCGGCGCCATTAGCGCCCCCGCCGCGATCCTCCATGAGGTGAAGTTGCGTTGACGGTGCGGTTACACTCCGCGTGAGCTAACTCTCGGCTCTGCGGTGGAAACGAGCTCCCGACGAGAACCAGGTGAGCGCGGGGAAAACACAAAGCGAACATCCGGTGTTTCCCGCGGGAGGGAGGAAGAACATGTTCGGTCACAGGCGGTTCGATGTGGAGGAGGAAGGGAGTGAGACATCGTCCGGTTATTCAGGTACACCGCCGGGGAGTGTACTGTGCCGAAGATCCTAAACTCACTAGATGAGCCACTTCGTCCGGAAAACCACCGATGACTACAACAGTTTTATTAGAAATGTTCCAACTTCTTTATATTAAATCATCAGACATGTTCCAACTTCTTTATATTAAATCATCAGACAAGTTCCAACTTCTTTATATTAAATCATCAGACAAGTTCCAACTTCTTTATATTAAATCATCAG